CCCACTTCACGAACAAAATCGAGTATTCGAAAAGCATATCCATTATGCCCGCATATCTGGAATCAGCCTAACAGCAGTGAATGGCCTGGTTGAAGAATTTTTACAATGTGGAACGCAAGTACGCAAGATAAGAAGATTCCTTCTCGAAACGCCTACTCGAACCGATCTCCCGACCCCGTTGTCCAGCCTTGCCAGCGCAGTGTCAATCCTTCTACATAGTTTTGAGGAGCATGTATACAAGTGTTTTAAGATGGGTTTACCATTGTTGGCGAGTCAAATGTTATTCAGACGGCCTGCATGTCTCCTCAACGCACTCGTTGACATCATAAAAGGCGCGGAAAATGCGATAACGGACGGTGCTGTTATATCGTCCGTCTTTACGAAATGCGATCATTACTCCCATGAATATGTGTGGCTCTCTGGAGTTCTTCATGAATTAATGGCATTGGTGGCTGAATCGTGGCTTTTACTGGTTGAGTCTTGGATTGGGCTCCAGCCCGAGCCACAAACCATGCCAGAGCTCAATCGGAATGAGAAAAGCTTCATAAAAACTGAGGAAGTTGACGGTCGAAATTTCAGAAGTATTGAAGCTAAACTGGTTAACTACAGCTTCCGTCCAGAAGCTATGCCTATCTTTGTTCCCGCAGACTATGCGGAAATGATATTCGAAGGTGGCAAGAGCCTGAGGCTACTCGAAGAATTCCATCCTAATCATCCACTTTCCGTAAAGAGCGGCGCGAGTCGGTCAGTGAATCTAACCCTGGAGTGTGCGTTTACCTGGAAAGATATTGATAAACTTCAACAAAAAGCCAACGACTATGAGTCGCGACTTCGAGCTGAAATACTTAGCTACGATGAAAAACGACTCCAGAAATGTCCCACGCTATCACCCGAGAACAAGAATATTGGAAATACTGTTCATGTTGGCCATTATCCAATTGACGGCGTCTTTTCACTTTTAGATATAGACGACAAGAATGATACTACCGAGTTAGCGAGTCAATCTTCAGTCTCTTCCCATAAACTACACATTCTTCTCGCTGAGAGCAACTGTTTCAACACCGACGAAGTCCCTGGAAACGAATTTCTTTTCGGACCACCTTTGGATGCGTCTGTTTATCTTTCATTCGCCCCAGCTATTTCAGCGCAAACTAGATTAATCAATTTCTCCTGCCTCCACCTTCTCTTCAAAGGACATAAAATCAAGGACCACCTGCAATTACAATGGCGTTTTCAGTTATTAGGCGACGGGGTCTTTTCGTCACGCTTATCTCACATCTTATTTGACCCTGAAATGCACAGTGGAGAACGGAAAGCTGGGGTTGCCCGCGGGGGAAGTTCTACTGGACTTCGTCTGGGCAATCGAGATACCTGGCCACCAGCTAGCTCTGAGCTCCGCCTGGTGCTTATGGGTTTGCTTTCTGAGAGTTACCACGGCGACAAAAATTACCCTGGCCACAACACCGGAAACCAAACCAGGAACAGGGACTTGCCTGGTGGCCTCAGCTTCGCAATCCGTGAGCTGACGGGTGAAGAACTTTTAAAATGCAAAAATCCCAATTCTATTGAGGCTTTAGATTTCCTCCGTCTCCAATACCATCCCCCTTCAGTGCTCGAAGCCATAATAACTCCCAGGAGTCTACGCAGATATGACTCTATCTTCAAACGCCTTCTACGGCTGATGCGAATGCTTTCAGTTTCATGCGGCCTAATCCGAAACTCTACAAATCGCTCGAATGCTACCGACATGCGCAGAACAATCACACAAAAATTCCGGATCGAAGCACATCATTTCGTTCAAAGCGTGAGCGACTATTCCTTCCACATTGCTGTTGGAGAAACATGGAGCAAGTTCGAGAGAACACTTGTCAAGACTGAGAAGTGCATTGATAAGGGGGATATCGATGGTACCCTTGACCATGCCAAAAGCTTACACCGCCTCCGAGAATATCATGAAGAAATCCTTGACCAGATCCTCTTTGCTTTATTTGTGAGCAAGAAACACACACAGGCCAGAAACCTTTTGGACGATATCTTCAGCACGATTCTCACATTCTCTTCTTTATCGAAAGCAGCAGCCACTAGCACGTGGATGGAGCAAGAGGGGATGCAATCTTACGATCGGGTAGTTCGTCAGCTTTTCTCGGTGTTTAGGAAACAGGTTTCAGGCTTTGTGAGGTTTTTAAGGGCGTTGGATGGGGCCAAAGAGATGAAGTCGAAAGGGAAATACCGGGCTCTTACAGCTTGGGGGAGTGATGGTCGTGCGGGTGTTGAGACAGAGAGTGTGTTTGAACACCTCCTTTTGCGGTTGGATATGAATGGGTTTTATTAGTTCATTCATTGTATGTGAGATATAAGTCAACGATATCCCTAACGTTAGGAGCCATTGTAGAAAATCGTCGAGTGATGCTTAAAATGTTTTATTCTGCGGGCTTCTCAAACCTTCATACATGTTGTCACCAGTCGAGGAGCCTGAGGAATGCTTTTTAAAATATGCTCCACAAGCTGGGAATATATATACATATAAAAGTGATCATCCCAAATTCTATACCCCTCGTGAACTAGACGATAAACTTGGAAATCATTGCATCTTCAATGTATTCCACGTGATTGTCCAACCCTAGGTAATGTGGCTTTGCGGACATCAATTGGACACCTTGAACCAGCGGAGCAGGCTTCCTAATATCTCTCCTATCAGCATCATCGTCCAGCGATCATCCGGAGGGTACATGTATGCGATCGCGGCGTTTCACCGGTTAGAGACTATAGTTGAGAATGCGCAATCGATAGAGAAAATTTCGGTAGAGAAACGATTGGATTTCGGAGAAACAACATCGCCGTGGAAAATTGAACGTCTCATTCGGATGCTATCCTGGTAGCAAAATATTTTCTTTTCTAGGATTCTTCAACCATCCTCTTAACCCTATCCAGCAAAACGGTGCTTTCTCGTCCCAGTCTTCGTCTCCCAAACTGATCTGGCCTCCTCGCCCTAGCCATAGCCTCACGATCTCGTTGCTTAGCTTCTCTTATCCTTTGTTTCCTTTCGATTTCATCTTTTCTCCTCTTTGCTATTTCTACCTCTTTCATAAACGGAGACAGCTTTGGTCGACGTTTGCGGCGATTCAGCCCGCCCGTTGGCGGACAATCCGTACTTGATGTAAGCCGTTGTCCTACACCGGGAGCATCAAGCATAGCTTGTCTATCAGGATGCAATTCTAAACTCGCTGGTTCTGTCTGTGTCGCATCATCATCATTTTCTAGTGTTGATTCTTTGGTATAACTGAACTTTGAAGATCCCTTCGCCAGCTCATTTTCTTTAATTTTGGCGTACGATTTCTTGACCTTGGCTTTATGGATTAGGTCGCTTTTAATTTTTTGTACTACACATAGCAAAAGAAGGAGAAAGCGATTAGTCGTGACTCGTGAGTACCGGAAATATCGAAAAGGGTATGATAATCATATAGAAATTATTACTTACTTTTTCGTCGATAGGTCCCGTCAGGAAGGTTAGCTGGACCAACTGAAAACCCTTTCTTCTTTTTAGCCACATTAGTATCGCCACCGGCACCATCCTTTCGAGGTCTTTTAGGAGTCATGTTGATATTTTCGTAGATTTTCGATGATGGCATCGCTGATGCAGTTGGTGGGTGCAACAGTAATCTCTCAATATTCACAGGTCACCATAATATCATAGATAATGCCCGTAGATATAGTGACACGGCTGAGAGGAAAAGAGAGAGCCAGCCCGTTCCCAAATGCAAAGATATGCGTTCTTTTTCACATTTTCGAATTATTCTTTGATGCGGGCTGCTGTCCCCACGTGACTCGACTCGGCATCCGTGGCTTCTCCGGCAGTTAGTTAGCCCTCATACGTAGGTCAGCCCGGTGGAGGCGATGATTCCATCCAACCGCCACGGCTCTAGATGCTGCCAGCAACAACCTCACGTCACTCTTATTCCAAAGCCGGTCTTGCTTCCCCTCCCTCCTGTGTCCTCCTCGTAACCTCGCTTCTTTGGATCTATCACATATCTACAACTAACCCAGTTAAACCCGTGACATCCACAACCTAAGTGTCTGCCACTACGCCCCGTGGCATACTTCACCTCTCTGCCTTCTCGTCCTACTGGCTGCGGGAGAGAGCCACGTCTTCCCTTGAGAATGACAACTTGTTTTGCATGCTAGTGACTTTATTTTATAAATAATAACATATGCCAATCTTCAAAGACCAGGAGCAACAAGAGCTCATCCATCATCACCCATGGCCTGTGAGCTCTACTGAAAACAATGACGACATAACACAGCCCAAACCACTGAAACAAAACGCTGAGAGAGAGGAAGTTATTGCTGATACTTCCTCGTGGGCGTCCAATATGGACGCACGCAGTGGCCCTCAGCGATTGCAAACGAGTGATCGTGAAGTGTTAATACGAAGCATCAAGAAGGGTGAAAGTCCTACTTGGGTTCCTAATCGTTCTGTAAGTCAATATTCAACTCTATCAACTCTAATATCCGACGAAAAACCTACACTTCGATATTCGAATTTAGGTTAGGACATGCCTCAAGACTGCTGAACGCCATGAGTTTTACTCGAGTGGTCCTCTTGCATGTCATGCATTTATGTTATTGGGAATATACCTGTGTTCGAGCTATTCTTACATTATAACAATAGAGAAGCTAATTTTCCGGTCCCTATAGCTGGAAGAGTATTTCGCAACCCATGGAGACCCTCCACACTCAAGGCTTGAAGGCCAGCTGAACATAGAGAAATCCCATCCTCTCCTCCCTGCTGCAGAAATAAAGAAATCACCAGAGCGTGGTTGCAACAGTGAAATATTGACAAGTTGTGCGTCTGAAATCGAGAGGCCAAGGTCAGCCTTGCATTCGGGTGACTTTCGCGAGGGATCACCCCAAGACCACCAACCAGGCGATCAAGAACCTTTTGGGCCGGATCCCAGTCGTGTTCGTTTTAATTCTTCTCCAACCACACCATGGTATACACCTACAAGTCCACCACGGCCTACAAGGCAGGATGTCGACTCAATTTTGGCCAGAAGTCGGGCAAGGGCTCCGTCCTTGAATTCATTTTCTTCAAGTTTTATTCTTAAGGCCCCGACAAGTCCGCTAGTCCACCAGGCCAATAATACCGACCTCGACTTCTCATCCAAGATTGATCCTCTCGATCTATCTTCCAGCTCTGATAACACTAATCGTCGTCGTACATTACCGCCAGAATCCTTTATGTCCTTCCAATCTTCTCCTCCCGGATCCCTTAGAGGAGCCATGGCTCCGAACTCTTCCCGGTCTTGGAGAAGAGAGGCAACTTTCCCCTACCAAGCCCACCAGCCCCGAAGGTCGTTAACGTCAGCTTACACTCTCCAACCCGCATCATCCCCACAAACACCTTTCATAGCACGCTCGAGAAGGCCATCCTTTTCCACCGATATCTCCTCCCCACTTCATCATGCAACTATGGTCGGATCATATGAAGAATCCATTTTACGAGGGAGAATGTCGACATCCCCGTCTAAACCTCTGGATTTCACCGCTCAAATCGGTGTACTTGGGAGAGGTAATTGTAAACCCAACTTAAAATGCCCTCCTCATGTTACTGTGCCGTTTCCGGCAGTTTTTTATAGCTACCCAGCGTCCGGCGGCGGACGATCAATATCAGATGATAGTCCCAGTCCATACGTCGGTTTCATCGATATTGAAAATACGTTTCCAAGGGAAGACAAGAAAAACCAAAAAAGTCGGCGGCGCTATACCAGCCCATTAAAACATGTTGATAAACATATAGAAGTGGGCACTACTATGTCAGATGTGAATACAAATGTTACAACACAACAGGAATGGCGTAGGAGGGAGAAGCGATCGCGACGGTCATCATCTCCAAAATCACCTCCTGGAGGGTGTTACAGAATACCACAACTAGGCCAACTACAAATCATCATTAAAAATCCCAACAAAACTGCAGTGAAACTATTCCTCGTTCCTTACGAATTAGAAGGAATGGAACCAGGAACTAAAACCTTTATCCGACAGCGAAGTTATTCAGCTGGACCGATTATTGACATGCCCCTGTCAGCCAGGACAAATATTGGAACCGACCCAACAGAAGCTTCCTTGGGTATGAACGAAGATCCAGCCGGCAAGCCGATACTAAGATATTTGATTCATCTGAATATTTGCTGTCCTTCCCGCGGTCGCTTTTACCTCTACTCGGGAATCCGTGTCGTTTTTGCGAATAGGGTCCCGGACGGTAAAGAGAAGCTGATAAATGAAATTCAGTACCCTGATCCTCAATATAGCCCTTATAAACCCTCCAAGGAAATTGCCAGTAGGCACAGAAATGCTGGTTATGGGCCTGGTTTACAGCCCATAACTCCAATGAGGATTGGCCTCAATAAGCGCGAGCCTAACTTTTATGCTCAGACGCCTCCACTACCCCATTTAAAGACGCTCAATTTCGGTCTCCCCGTTCATGCGTCTGGAAATGCTCGCCTAGATGCCTCGGATTGCGAGAAACGTGGGATGGAGGAGCATGATCCACATGGCCCTCACTCGCTGTTTGGTAATTTTTCGAGTCAAGCTCCTTCTAACCCAAATGACCTCCCCACTCTTCCGCTATCTTCAATTAACTCGTTACCTTCGCTCGACCTGCCAAGTTCGAGTGCAGACGCAAGTAATATGTACAGCAAACGGCAAAAGGGTGATGTTGGATATGGAAGCCCTTCCGGGATGAGCTCGATCGGAAGCGAAACGGGAGAGAGCCTACTGGCGCGAAAACTGAGAAAGCTAGATGTTATGTTAAATCCAGACGTGTCGGACGAAAAGTAAGCGCCGCAATATATACATGATGGAACAGATCTATTCGTGTCGTCACCGTATGGCAATCAATACCGGTTGTCAATTCCAATGGCAAGCCTGCGCCATCCTCATTTCGCCTTCACTAACTTCAAATTATCTTAACTGTTTCTTTTTAATGATCTGGCGGTAATTCCACTCTTTCTCAGTACCATTTTAACTATTTTTTATTCACCTTCCATATGTTTATAGACAAGGCGGGGAGCGAATGGCAACGGCGTTGAATTGGATAATTATCAGCAAATCGGCTGAATGATAAATGGAAGTGTGTATTTACGCGTCCATATACTCCCAGCACTTTTCTTTTCTCTTTCTTCTTGCTCTGTTTGTTTTGGCATAGCTTGAGATGTCAGACTTTTTACTCACTTGGATATTCTGTACATACATGCAGAATAAAGTGCATCATCCATTCCTGAGCAAGCTACTTCTTCACTTCTTCGCCTACAATATTGGCCCTGCAACAACTAAACCTTTCTATAGTGGAAAAAGATAACAGAGCCTCATACATCTACAATAACGCTAGTGAAACTATTTATTCTCAATCAACTTTCAACTAACTTCAAATCCAAGCCCTGGGAATATAGCCAAAGGTTATCCACTTCCACTCCTTGACAAAGTGGAATTATATAACGTGGTGGTAAGCATGTGGATATATACATTGGTTTCACGTTCAGCCTGATGATATATATAAAGCACTTTTAACACAAATCTATATTTGAGGCCATGAACGATCCTTCACCGTGCTAATTCTAATTAGATCGAAGGAAGAAGTTCGCTATGGTGGTTCTATGTACAGCGTAAAGGTGGTGACAAGCTCGGTAGCGGAGAATACTGGCGACAACACTTAAACATATAATCTCACGACACAAGGCTTATTGCGTCTCAATAGTAAATTATCCTTGCTGGGTACATATATGTACAAAGGATGCTGAAGAAAGCCATTTAGGAAGTTTTACAACAAATTTCTTCAACTTTATCCCGCATGCTCGACAATTTCGCTGATGGCAGCCCCATTCCTGACAACGGTTCGGATCTGCTCAGGAATGGGCAATTCCTTGGAGTCGTCATCCGTTCCTTCCTTAGGCGGCACGACGATATTCAAGTTGGAGCATTTACTGCTGAAAATCTCAGTATTCAAGCTCGCCTGGCTCAGGTACAGACTTGCTCCATCGACCTGATCAAGCAAGATAGTCGGGACAACGCCATCAATCTGCAGGGCAAATGTAGGGGATTTAATGACATCAACGCTGCTCACAAGTGAGTCAACGATGACGGAGAGGCCCGTACAATTGTCAATGGATATAGCGTTGGCTTTACCGTTAATCTTGACAATCACTTTATTGCAATGGGATATTAAGATCGAGTGCGAGAGTTGAGCGGGTACCTCGATAATGTCGGTAATGCTATCGTAATGCTCAATGTACCATTTATTACCATCAAGCTGCTTGCGTGAAGGTTTTTTAGAACGCATGCTTTCGGGTTTTGGTTTCTTGCTTGGAACTGGTGATTTTCCACGGGCAGTGGGGGATGTCACACCGGTCCTTGAATCGCTGCGGTCAGGGACAAGCGAACCAGCCCGAAGGCTAGGATTCTTATGTGTCATTTCCGACTTGTCGACTTTTCGGAGGCCTGAGGTGATCGCAGACCCTTTGTTCAATTGCTCGAAAACAGATGACATATCACCAGTCGATACTGCCTTCGGCGGAGCTGCTCCACCAGCTGGGGGTGGAGGCGGGGGAGGCGGGCCACCTGCGCCAGCGGTAGGAGGGGGTGGAGGGGGAGGAGGCGGTGGTAACGTAGAGCCCGTCGGCGAACCGGACTGAACCTGTTTCAAAGCCTCCGTTACGTCGACTCCATCCCGGTTGTTCCATGTCAAGCCATTCGGATAATGTTCCTTAATATAGGTGACAAGAGATTTAAAAATTTGATAATATGATTGAATAAATGCGACATGACGATCGTCCCTTTAAAATGTTAGATACCATCTTCGC